CTGCGGTGGCCGGTAGCAGCCACTGCACTCCAGTCTGGGCGACAGAGTGAGACTCCAACTAAAAAATAATAATAATAAGAGCATATCCATACTATGTAAAGAATTTCTACAAATTTAAAGACAAAAGACCAAAATATCTAGTATAAAATGGACAGGCCAGACTCGGTAGCTCCGCTTGTAATCTCAGAACTTTGGGAGGCTGAGGCGTGTGGATTGCCTGAGCCCACAGACTTGAGACCAACCCAGGCAACTTGCTGAGACCTCGTCTCTACAATAAATGAAAAATAATTAGGCAGGCGTGGTAGCACGCGCCTATCGTTCCAGTTACTTGGAAGGCTGAGAAGGAAGGATAGCCAAAGCCCAGCATGTTGACACTGGGGTGGCCATGAGCATGCCACTGCACTCCACCTGGACTATGGAGTGAGACTCCCAACTCAAAAAAAAAAAATGGACAAAGGCTAAGTACAGACAGCTCACAAACGGGGAAATATAAATAGCAAATAACATTTGAAAAGATGCTCAACTATCGGGAAATGCAGATTTTAAAACACAATGTGGGCCATGTGTGGTGGCTCAGACCTATAACCCCAGCATTTGGGAGGCCAAGGTAAGGGATCACTTGAGTCCAGGAGTTTGAGACCAGCTCGGGCAACATAGCAAGACCCTGTCTCTACAAAAAATACAAAAATTAGCCAGGTGTGGTAGTGCACCCCTGGAGTGCTTGCTACTTAGGAGGCTAAGGAAAGGATCAGTTGAACCCAGGAGTTCAAAGCCGCAGTGAGCTGTGATTAGGCCACTGCAGACCAGTTTGGGTGACATAGCAAGATGTCTCTGAAATAAAAAATAAATATAAAAATAAAAACTGTGGGTTTTTTTGGCTCATCAAATCTGACTTTATTTTTTTTAAAGATAATATTGCATATTATATGAATATAGGAAAATGAGTATGTTCTCTTACTGTAAATGGGAGTATTAAAATGGTATAGCTTATGTACTTATGATTCCAACTATTCAGTAGTTTCCAGGGGTTAGAAGGGAAGGGGAAAACAAGTAGGGAGGAGCACAGTTTTTTTTTTTTTTTTGAGTTGGAGTCTCACTCTGTCCCCCAGGCTAGAGTGTAATGGCACACTCGTGGCCACTGCAGCCTGACCTGCTGGGCTCAAGCGAACCTTCCACCTCAGCCTTCCAAGTAGCGGGAATTACAGGCATGAGCTACCACGCCTGACTGATTTTTTTTTTGTGATTTATTGTAGAGATGAGGTCTCGCCAAGTTGCCCAGGCTGGTCTCAAACCCTTGGGCTCAGGCAATCCTCTCACCTCGTCCCCCCAGAGTGCTGGGATTACAGGCGTGAGCCACGGTGCCTGGCCACACAGAGGATTTTTAAGGCAGTGAAATTTCTCTGTGAAACTATAATGTGGACACTTGTCATAAATTTGTCCAAATCCATAAAATATACCACACCAAGAGAGAACCCGGATGTAGTCTTCCCTTATTACCTTTGGGGGGATAATGATGTGTCAATGTAGGCTGATCAGTTGTAACAAATGTACCACTTTGGTGGGGAATGTTGATAATGGGGAGGCTGTGTGTGTGTGGGATTAGGGGTACATGGAACATCTCTACCTTCCTCTCAGTTTTGCTGTGACCCTAAAATGTCTCTAAAAAATAAAGTCTATTACATACATAAATAAATAAACAATAAAAAATGGTATGGTTTTGTAGAAGAGAAACTGGGCATTGTCTCAAAACTTAAATTGTGCATACTTTTTGACTTACCAGTTATATACCAAAAACCAACATAGTTTCTTCTTCTTTTCAATAATTTTATAGTACTATTTGCTGTTTTGACACTTGGAAAATGGTATTATAACTTTTATGCACATTCCTCTGGTTGTTTGCTTGTAAGTTTTTGTTCTAAAAATGTATTAATTAGCTATTTGTCTTATTTCTTTTACAGTTTCTTGAGTTTTGAATATACTTACCACTATGCTATATCTCAAGTCTATTCCCCTCCTGATTCCACTGTCCCAACCCTTTTTAGACTCACCTCATCCCACAGATTCTTGTACTTTTTAAAAGCTTTATGCCTGCGTTTCTGCCTTTCCCGTGGCTTAGGAAATTCCTCACTCAGTCTTTGTCTTTCACATATCTACTCCTTTGAACCTACTTGGTACAACTTGTGGGATGATGAGATAGTAACCACCATAGGGAGTGTGCCTGTTTCAGTAATTATTACATCCTCTCATCACTTGTGTCTTAAACCTGCCACTTAGATTCAAAACAACCATGTCTTCTACCCCTTTTAAGCTGCCTTACATATAAGAGGTTTCTAATAAATATATCTTGAATTGAATTCGAGGCCAAGTTTTGCCTTTTTTACTAGTTGAAGATTTTCATCATGTTGTGCATCAGAATTATCATCATCAATAAACATTTTTCAAGCATCCAACAAGAGCATGGAATACAACAGCAAGTACTGTAAAGCTATAGAATAAGATAGGGTTCTTGTAGGGCCCTATGCTCTCTCTTGCTTAAAAAAATTTTTTATCCTTTGATCTCGTTATAACCAGTAAGATTCCACACTCATTTTTAAATGAATATCATCACATTCTTTTTTTTTTTTTCATTAATCAGTATTTTTTATTATGGTTTTGTGTCATCACATTCTTTTATAGGTTTAGAACTAAATATTCAATGCCAGCATCACAGGCATAGGATAACATGGGCTATATCCTTTTTTTTTTTTTTTTTTGAGTAGGAGTCTCATTCTTTTGCCCAGGTTGGAGTGCAGTGGCATGCTCATGGCCACCGCAGCCTTAACCTACTCAGATGATTCTTCCACCTCAACCTTCCGAGTAGCCGGAACTACAGGCGCGCGCTTCCATGCCCGGCTTATTTTTTTATTTATTGTAGAGACAAGGTCTCCCCAAGTTGCCCAAGCTGGTCTCGAACCCCTGAGCTCAGGCAATCCTCTCTCCTTGGTCTCCCAAAGTGCTGGGATTACAGGCTTGAGCCGCCCACACCCAGCCTCCAATGGTTGTTTAGATAGTAGATGCTACAGTATTTTAGATAAAAGAGTAAGTAGTTTTATGATGGGCCATTAGTGTGCCTTTTTAGAACTTTTGAACCTTGAAGCAAGGATGGAATTCAGATCAGCCTGTAGAAAGGGGATGCTGAGTAGACAGAAGAATAACTGTGAGGTGCGTTCAGTGATAAGATGCCATAGAATACTCTTCTGTGGATCATGCTGTTTCTAGACAACTTTTCTAATCTTGGCATGTTTAATGATCTTGTTAAACATGAACGATTATAGTGTGCTCTACCTGTGTTCTTGATGTTCTGGAATGTTTACTAACTTGTATTCCTTAGAGTTTGGGATATGAAGAAAACAAAGTTGGGGTGGCGAGCAGGGAAGGCTATTTGTGGACTTCTCGATGAATTCTAAATTTCATTACTACTGAAGGATTTTATGTTGGTAATAAGTAAGGACATTCTGAGCATAGAACATTACCAATTATTGCCTCCTTTTGGTTTGTTATCACAGACTAGATGAGACAATACAGGCCATTGCCAATGGAACTTTGAACCAGCCACTGACCAAATTGGATAGATCTTCTGAAGAGCCTTTGGGAGTTCTGATAAATCCCAGTATGTACCAGTGCCCTCCCCAGGTTAGTGGACCTTTGCTCTAATTGATAATGAGAGAAGTTGGGCCCCCAATTTTTATCCACTTAAGTGTTACTGTTTCATAGACTTTAGGTATCTATCTGCTTTCTCAACACACTTACCAATCTTATTTTCTGGCCCATTTTTTTCTGATTTTTTTTAAATTTTATTTTATTTTTGAGTTGGAGTCTCACTCTGTCACCCAGACTGGAGTGCAGTGGCCGCTCCCAGCCACCGCAGCCTCAACCTGCTGGGCTCCAGCAATCCTTCTGCCTCATCCTTCCAAGTAGCGGGAACTATAGGCGTGCACTACCACACCCGGCTGATTTTTGATTTATTGTAGAGATGAGGTCTCGTCAAGTTGCCCAGGTGGGTCTCGAACCCGTGGGCTCAGGCAATCCACTCACCTCAGCTTCCCAAAGGCGCGGGATTACAGGCTGAGCCACCGAGCCCAGCTTTTTTCTGGTTTTTATTACAGGACTTCTGACAAGTTGACCTGTATTCTGAGTATTTTCCAAGAGAGGATTTTGTTAAGTACTATAGAAACTTAGACAATAATGGTCCTTTTGTTAAAGTTCTTTTTCTATCTCTTATAAAATATGGGTAGTTCCATAGAAGGGTGTTTTAAATTAATTAATTCACGCATTCATTTTGCCATTTATTTTACTATCCAGTACATTGAGCATCTACTCTAAACAAGTGCAATAGTAAATGATCAACCAGACACTGATTCTATCCTCAAAGAACTCACGAACTAGTAGGGAAAAAGGTCTACTACATAAGCAGCTCTAATACTAATAGGGTATAAATTAAGTGCTATGGAAATCTAGAGGTGGGAGAGACTGTTTCTAGTTGAGGGGAATCAAAGGGTTTTATAGGGAAGTTGACATTCATTAAAAGTAAATATTCAAGAAAACCCACATTTGGAAATGGTGGGGATAAAAATTTCAGGCAGAATGAGTTGTAGGAACAAAGGCATGTGTATATAAAAACATAGACTGTATATATAGGTAATAGTGAATATAGGCTGCTTAGATAGGACTCATAAAATAGATTAACATGAGACATAGAGTAGTGTTGGGTAGCTAGGACCTAATCTCTAAAGAACTGAAGTGTTAGCCAAGAGTGTGGCATGTGCCTATAGTCCCAGCTACTCAGGAGGCTGAAGTAAGAGGATTTCTTGAGCACAGAACTTAAATGTTTGGCTAGGAAATTTTTAACATTTTGGTTTTCTAAATAACTGAGCCATAGAGGTTTTTTAAGCAAAGAGAGTATGCAATCATGTAGTGCTTTAGACAGGTTAACTAGAGATATTCATTTAGCATTGTATATGTGCCAGGTTCTATGCTAGGTACTGGGAAATTAAAAGGCAAGGGCCTAGCTCCTGTCCTTCAAGTTTAGTGGGGAGATGTTTATGCACACAGTAATGCATAGTTGCTATATTTATTTATTTTATTTTTTATTTTTCAATTATTTATTTATTTATTTATTTTTTTTTTGAGTTGGAGTCTCAGTCTGTTGCCCAGACTGGAGTGCAGTGGCCGCTCCCGGCCACTGCAGCCTCGACCTGCTGGGCTCCAGTGATCCTTCCGTCTCAGCCTTCTAAGTAGTCGGAATTACAGGCACGCGCTACCATGCCTGGCTGATTTTTTAATTTATTGTAGAAATGAGGTCTCGCTAAGTTGCCCAGGCGGGTCTCGAACCCGCGGACTCAGGCAATCCACTCACCTCAGCCTCCCAAAGGCGCAGGATTACAGGCTGAGCCACCAAGCCCGGCTCATAATTGCTATAATAGGTACATGCCATGGGTACAGTAGGACTTTAGGAGAGTGTTCATTAATCTGCTAGCGGAGTCACAAAAGAAATAGTGTTTGAGAGGAGACTTAAGGAGTTAATAGGAATGTCCAAGCAGACAAATCTGGGGAGAGAATTCTAGACAGAAGATATGTGTGCAAAGTCTCAGCAGTTGGGAGCATTGTGAGTTTGGGGGATTCACAAGTAATTAACTATTGTTATGAACTGGTAGGTGTTGTCATTTTCTAGGGTTGCTGTAACAAAGTACCACAAACTGGGTGACTTACAACAGAAATTAGTTCTCTCACATTGGGAGACTAAAAGACCAAAATCAAGGTGTCGGCGGGGCTGCATTTCCTCTGAAGGCTCTACAGGAGAAGGCTTCCTTACCTCTTTAAGCTTCTGGTGGTCTTAGGCATCCCTTCCCTTGTAGCTGCATCATTCTAATCTGTGCCTCTTTCTTCACATGGCCTTCTTCTCTGTGTGTCTCTGTCTCTTTTTGTCCTCTCCTCTTATAATGACACCAGACATTGTATTTAGGACCTACCATAGTCCAGTGTGACCTCATCTTAAGATCATTACATCTGTAAAGACTCTATTTCCAAATTAGATTATATTCACATATTTCAGATAGACATAAATTTGAGTGGGACTACTACTCTCCCCAGTACAGTAGGTAACACTTGATCATGAAAGCCTTTATGTCTCATGCTAAGGAGTTGAGGTTTTATCCTAAAGTAGGCAGAGAAGGGACTTTTAAGAGTTTTAGCAGAAGATTGGCAGTATTTTCATCTCTATTTAGAGAATCGATTGGAGGGAAAGGTAAGACCAGAAGCAGAGACATTGCTGATGAGGTTATTGTGATAGACAATGGGGAGATAATAAGAGCCCAACTTAGTGTTGTAGCACTTATAGTATAATACAGAGTTATTTAAAGACAAAAAATGGGAGCCAGTCTAAAAAATAAGAAAGATTAACCAGGCATGGTGGCATACACATGTAGTCCCAACTACTTAGAAGACTAAGGTGGGAGGATCGCTTGAGCCCAGGAGTTTGAGGCTGCAGTGAGCTATGTCCAAGCCAGTATACTCCAGCCTGGGCAACAGAGTGAGACCCTGCCTCTAAAAATAATAACAATAATAATAATAAAATAAAGACTAAAAGTGTAGATGAGGAGACATGTTAACAAGTTTTTAATAGTATTGTTGAAAGATTAACTTAGGGAAATGGCTGTGTGATTAGAGAAAACAGCTGTAGAGATAGAAAAGAGAATTCAGGCCTTAGGATTGTTCAAATACCAACATTTTTATGAAGTTACTGGTTTCCCCCATAATGGATCAATTTTTCTTTCTCTGTGTTCCCACATAAGAACTTCTGTTCCTATTTAGTATTTACTCAGTTTTGCCTTATATTTTAAATAATTCTTTGTGTGTCTGTCTTTCGCTGGGATTATAAATTTTTTGAAGGCAAGAACCATATATTTGCATATTTTATGTGCCTCCCTAGGGCATTGTTTTTCACATAAAATTTTCAGATAGTCAATAAATACTTTTTTTTTTTTTTGAGTTGGAGTCTCACTCTGTCCCCCAGGCTAGAGTGCAGTGGCACACTCATAGCCACTGTAGCCTCTACCTGCTGGGCTCAGGCGATCCTTCTGTCTCAGCCTTCTAATTAGCTGGAACCACAGACATGCACTACCATGCCTGGCTAATTTTTTTTTATTTATTGTAGAGATGAGGTCTCACCAAGTTGCCCAGGCTGGTCTCAAACCTGTGGACTCAGGCAATCCTCTCACCTCTGCCTCCCAAAGTGCTGGGATTACAGGTGTGAGCCATTGCGCCCAACCAATAAATACCTTTTTAAAGATAAGACACAATTAATGAAAATCATGATTTTTTTTTTAGTTGGGATCTAAGGCTGGAGTATAGTGGCACAATTACAGCTCACCACAGCCTTGACCTCCTGGGCTCAGGCAATCCTTCCACTTCAGCCTCCTGAGTAACTGGGGCTACAGACACACACTACCACACCTGGCTAATTTTCTGATTTTTTGTAGAGATGAGGTCTTGCTGTGTTGCCTAGGATAATCTTGAACTCCTGGGCTCAAACAGTCCTCCCTCCTCAGCCTCCCAAAGTGCTGGGATTACAAACATGAACCACTATACCCAGACCCCAAATCCTAAAATTTTATCACAAAAAGATTCTTAGAGATTCATTTACTCCAACCTCATTCTTTCTTTCTTTTTTTTGAGTTGGAGTCTCACTCTGTCATCCAGGCTGGAGTACAGTAACATACTTAACGGCCCCCACAGCCTCGACCTGCTGGGCTCAGGCAATTCTTCCACGTCAGCCTATCTAGGAACTACAGGTGTGTGCCACCACACCCATTTAATTTTTCTTGATTTATTGTAGAGATGAGGTCTCACCAAGTTGCCCAGGCTGGTCTCGAAACCCTGGACTTAGGCAGTCCTCTTGCCTTCACCTCCCAAAGTCCTGGGATTATAGGCATGAGCCACCACACCCAGCCTATTATTATTTTTTTAGAGACAGAGTCTTGCTGTGATGTCTAGGCTGACCTTTTAGCTTCTGGGCCCAAGTAATCCTCCTGCCTTAGCCTTCTGAGTAGCTGGGACTACAGGTACATACCACCACTCCCAGCTGTATAAATTACTTAATTAAACTATTTGGCCGGGCTCAGTGGCTCAGCCTGTAATCCCAGCACTTTGAGAGGCTGAGGCAAGTGGATTGTCTGAGCCCACGGGTTCGAGACCCGTCTGGGCAACTTGGCAAGACCTTGTCTCTACAATAAATCAAAAATTAACCGGGTATGGTAGCACACGCCTGTAGTTCCAGCTACTTGGAAGGCTCAGGCAGAAGGATGGCCGGAGCCCAGCAGGGCGAGGTTCCGGTGGCCGGGAGCTTGCCACTGCACTTGTGTTGCCCCGACTGGAGTGCAGTGACCACTCCCAGCCACTGCAGCCTCGACTTGCTGGGCTCTGGTGATCCTTCCACCTCAGCTTTCCAAGTAGCTGGAACTACAGGCGTGTGCTACCACGGCCGGCTAATTTTTGATTTATTGTAGAGATGAGGTCTCGCCAAGTTGCCCAGGTGGGTCTCGAACCAAAAAAAAAAAATTTTTTTTAAATAAAAAAATTTAAGACACCTAACCCCAAACTTCACCATTCTAATAGTTTTTTTTGTTTGTTTTTTTTTTTTTTTGAGTTGGAGTCTCACTCTTGCCCAGACTGGAGTACAGTTGCTGCTCCCGGCCACCGCAACCTCAACCTGCTGGGCTCCGGCGATCCTTCCGCCTCAGCCTTCCGAGTAGCCAGAATTACAGGCATGTGCTACCACACCCGGCTGATTTTTTGATTTATTGTAGAGATGAGGTCTCGCTGCCCAGGTCTCGAACCCGTGGGCTCAGGCAGTCCACTCGCCTCAGCCTCCCAAAGGCGTGGGATTACAGGCTGAGCCACTGAGCCTGGCCTGGTTTTTTTTT